AGTGGTAGAGCGCTTGCCTTGCATGCCTGAGGCCCTGGGTTTGATTCCTCAGCACCACATAAGCAAAAAGAAAAAAGCCGGAAGTGGTGCTGTTGCTCAAGTGCTAGCATTGAGCTGAAGAGCTGAGAGACAGCGCCCAGGCCCAGAGTTCAGGGCCCACGACTGGCCCCCCCCCAAAAAAAAAAGTTAAAAAATCATATAGACTTCCCTACCTGAGCTGGCTTTGAACCTCCATCCTCAGATCTCAGCCTCCTGAGTAGCAAGGATGTCAGGTGCGAGCCAATAGAACTTGGCTTTAATGTTATTTTAATAAGGACACTTTTTTTTGTCAGTCGTGGGGCTTCAGCTCAAGGCAAGTGCTCTACCACTTGAGCTACAGTGCCACTTCCGGTTTTCTAGTGGTTTATTGGAGATAAGAGTTTCAGGGACTTTCCTGCCCGGGCTGGCTTTGAACCATGGATCCTCAGATCTCAGCCTCCTGAGTAGCTAGGATTACAGGCGTGAGCCACCGGCGCCCGGCTTTTAATGTTATTTTATTTTATTTTTTTGGTCAGTCGTGGGGCTTGAACTCTGGGCCTGGGCGCTGTCCCTCAGCTCTTCAGCTCAAGGCGAGCACTCTACCACTTGAGCCACAGCGCCACTTCTGGCCTTTATCTGCTTATGTGGTACTGGGGAATTGAACCCAGGGCCTCATGAATGCAAGCCAAGCACTCTACCACTGAGCCACCTTCCCAGCCCCTTTAAATGTTATTTTTAAGAATCGTCTTCTAGGCTGTTCCTGGGCACCTTGAGGTCTATCTGTCAGTCAAGCCGTCCATCTGTCCATCCCCATCTTATTCCTCGCCTCTTGTGCTTTCCCGCCTTTTATGGCTTCTCTCCCTCGAAAGGAGCATGTGCACATGCGCATCTCCATCTCTCCGTGGTTGGGGAGGGGGCAAGGAGCTCTCAGAAACTCTCGCGGGATGTCGTACACTCGGCAGCCCGCTTGGCAACTAGTGACGTCATGCAGGCCTGGCCCACCCTTATTGGCTGCTTTCAACCGGCCGGCCATGTGGTGCGGGCTGGCTGGAGTAGGTGGCCAAGCGTTGCCAGGCACCACGAGGCACTCAGCGCTGGGGCTTACAGACCTTGGGAACCCTCTAGAAACTCGTGTCGTCATGGCAACTCGGCCGTCTCCCATTGGGTACCAGAGATATTTCTGCTAATCTAATTGGATCGCTTTCAGGTTAATACCTATTTCTGATTCGATGTCAGGGAATTTGGACCACCCCTTTCTCAGCATTTGTCTCCTCTTCTAGCAGGAGTTCTTCAGCAATGTGGGCATAGAAAGTGAACCGGGTTGCCAAGGGGAGTGAGGGGTGTTGGGCTTGGCCAGATCCTGGGGTTGGCTCTTCTCACAGGCAGTGTCCCTTGCTTCCCGTCAGAGGGCGCCAGAGAGCACTGGGCCGGGTGGGGTGGGGGGTGGAGGGAATGCCTTGGTGACCAGTGATGTCAGCGGTGGTCCGTTCCCGATTGGCGCCCTCTCTCCCTGTATTAGCATATTCATAATGAGACGATGCAGAAATCAAATATTCCTGGATCCAGGAATTAACGTTCTGTTCTCAAATCCTTCAATATGCAAGAGCATTTATCTGCCTTTATCATTACTTCTAATCTCCTCAATCATGCCTACGCGAGCAACTTAATGAGAGGCCACTCATTAATAATGGACACCTGTTGTTCGGGCCTGACATCTGTTACCATGATTTTTTTTTTTTTTTTGGTAACGAATTGACTTGAAAGAAAAAACATAACAAGTTTTAGGTTGATTGAAAATCTAGTGAGTCATCAGGCACTGGTGACTCACACCTGTAATCCTAGCTACTAAGAAAGCTGAGATCTGAGGATTGAGGTTCAAAGCCAGCCTGGGCAGGAAAGTCCGTGAGACTCCTATCTCCAATAACAGGAAACCGGAAGTGGTGCTGTAGCTCAAGTGGTAGAGCTCTCGCCTTGAGCTGAAGAGCTGAGGGACAGTGCTCAGGCCCAGAGTTCAAGCCCCACGACCAACAAAAAAAAAAAAAGGAATTGACATGAGTTGGGTGTGGTATTCATGCTTATAGTCCCAGCTATTTGGAAGGTGGCAGCAGGCAGATCTTGAGGTTAAAGCTAGTCCGGGAAAACTCCTAAGACTCCATCTGTAAAACAACAAAAGGCTGGTGGTGTGGCTCAAGTGGTAGTGAGGCTTATCTAGCATTTGAGTGGTCCTGGGATCAACCCCTGGTGCCACAAAATAACAAAAGAAACTGGCAGTTTCATAGGTGAGTGTGGTGTCTGCTGGAGCCGTGTCTGATGGCCTAACTGTGAGAACCATAAGTAGAACCTATTGGAGAAAAGCTTTTTGCAGATATAATTAAGAATCTCCAAATGAGATGGTCCTGGCTTTAGACTGGTCCCCAGATCCAGTGTCAGGTGTCCTTAGAAGAAAAAGACACATGGGGCTGGGAAGTTGGCTCAGTGGTAGAGCACTTGCCTTGCATGCCTGAGGCCCTGGGTTCGATTCCTCAGCACCACATAAGCAAAAAGAAAAAAGCCGGAAGTGGCACTGTGGCTCAAGTGGTAGAGCGCTAGCCTTGAGCTGAAGAGCTGAGGGACAGCGCTCAGGCCCAGAGTTCAGGCCCCACGACTGGACCCCCAAAAAAAAGAAAGAAAGAAAAAGACACAGGGAGATTTTTGAGCCACAGCAGGGAGAAGGGGACAGGAAGACAGAGACAGAGTGGAGTGATGCATCCAGTAGCCAAGGAATGCAGGGGTCTGCAGCTGTTGCCAGAGGCATGCTGGGAGTTTTCCTATGAGCCTTGGAAGGAAGCTACCTGCTGCCGTCCTGACGGGACTATTCTTCCAAGAGGGAATCGATTTAGGCAGACATTTGTTCAGATTGCCCAGAGCAAAAATAAAATAAAATAAATACACTGATGGTAGCATTTGCCTGGAGATATTTTGGAGCAGCTGTAATTGGGAAAGGAGACAAGACATGACCAACAGGGAATGTAGTGGACATCCATTTAGAAGGACTATTGCCCTGAAACGCCTTCAGGACTGTCAATCAAGGAATTTCCCTAAATTCGGGATTAAAGAAAGTTACATCTTCAAAGACAGGAATTCGCCATTCAGGCCAAAAGCAATGACAGCCTGAGGGCGGTTGAACCAATAGCAAGTGAGACAGGTGGGGGGGGGGAGGTAGGAATGGAGTCAGAGATGGCAGAGGGTGCAGCCCAAGGGCAAACTGGATGCAATGATTGGTCCTAGGCGGCCATCCAAGGCCTGAGCATGACCAATCAGAATCCTTTTCCCTAATGTGCTCCAGACTGGGGTGGACAGGATCCTGCTTTGGTCTCCTGGGGGAAACCTGGGAAAACAAAAAATTCTGAAGGGGGGAAAAAAAGTGATCACTAAGGGGAGGTGGTGTGTTTTTTGTTGTTGTTGTTGTTATTGTTTTATTATCTTGGTTTTTTTCTTCTTCTTCTTTTGTGCCAGTCCTGGGGCTTGAACTTAGGGCCTTAGTGCTGTCCCTGAGCTTTTTTCATTCAAGGTTAGAACTCTACCACTTGAGCTACAGCTCTACTTTGGCTTTTTTTTTTTTGGTGCTTAATTAGAGATTAGAGTCTCAGGGCCTTTCCTGAGGTGGTTGGCTTTGAAGCCCAATCCTTGGATTTCAGACTCTCTCAGTAGGATTACAGGCGTGACCACTGCGCCAGGCTACATTTGGCTGCTTTATTAATGCCATGATGTGAGAACACATCGTCTGTACCCAGGCCGGGGGAGGGACAGCAGCCTCAGGGACACAACTCAATGCTGCCTGCTGCCACGCAGCCGAGCTCGCCCTGGGACTGTCTGTCTTCAGGAGATGTGTTACTGGAACACAACAAATCTTCCTCTCTGAATCTTTCCCTTGGAAATCCTGATTTAGGGTTTTATTTTTGTTTTTAACCAAACGCTTACTAATAAATGAAGCATTACAAGCCTAGAGCTCAGAGGCCAGCGCATAACTCCTGCGAGACATGTCTAAGAAGGAAGTCTACGAAAGGGAAGGCAAATGTGAAAGTCACTTAACACCCCGATTCAACCCTGCCTGAAGGCTCACTGTGCTGCAGTCTTCATTCACAGCAGCATTTGAGGGGTCCTATACACTATAGTGGTACTGACAAAGAGAATTTGAAGAAACTAAAGCTCAGACTGACACAAAGTTGCCCAAATCCTGTCCTGCCTGCCAGGTGTCATCTCAGGAGGCCAGAGATCTGAGGATCGCAGGTCGAAACTCTTATCTCCAGCTAAGCAGCAAAAATCCAGAAGTACAAAAAAAAAATTTTTTTAAAGGGGGTGGGGGGGTGAAATAAAAAATAAATTAAAAAAAGCCAGAAGTGGAAGGATAGCTCAAGTGGTAGAGCACCAGCCTTGAGCTAAAAGGCTAAGGGACTCAGGCCCTGAGTTCAAGCCCCAGAACCAGCACATACACATGTGTGTGCAACACAATAATGATGATGATAATGATGATGATAATAATAATAATACAGTCACAGAGAAGCAGGACCAGGCAGCTTGAGGCCCACAGAGTGTTTATTCTGGCATCAGTAGCAGCAGCAGCAGTGGGCGGGGATCGGCTGGACTACAGAGTGGTGCGCAGGGGTGGATACAGATGTGTGTGTGTGTGTGTGTGTGTGTGTATGTGTGTGTGTGTGTATGTGTCTGGGGTCACACAGAGGATTGGCCCAGTGACATTCACGGCGAGAACCAGGGTCAGGACACCAAGTCTTGGACAACAGTAAAGAGACAGAGACCGACAGAGGATCTAGGGAGAGGGGGTCCCCCAGACATGCATGGCCCCTTGCCTTGTGGGGGAACCCCAGGGAACAGAAGACAAACAGTGGAGGCTGAATGCCCCCCACCCTGAAACAGGGGCCTGGGTCCAGCAGCCTCCCGCCCGCCTGCACGCCTCCAGGGGGGAGGAGCGCAGGCCCAGGGCTGCCTGCACCGGCGGCTCGGACACTATGGCTTCGAGGAGATGAGTTTACGGTCCGGGCAGGAAGGGATGGGGTCATCAGGGGCCCTGGTTCAATCCCCAGCCTAGGCCAGACCTGCACAATGGGCAGAAGAGAAGAGGTCAGAGGAAAGGAGTGATGGCTTCACAGGGAGAAACATGCTGGGCTGGGCCCCAGCCTCCTCCCTCAGTCCCAGAGATCCAGATCCCAGCCTCCTCCCTCAGACCAGAGATTCAGACCCCAGCCTCCTCCCTCAGTCCCAGAGATCCAGACCCCAGCCTCCTCCCTCAGACCAGAGATTCAGACCCCAGCCTCCTCCCTCAGTCCCAGAGATCCAGACCCCAGCCTCCTCCCTCAGTCCCAGAGATCCAGACCCCAGCCTCCTCCCTCAGACCAGAGATTCAGACCCCAGCCTCCTCCCTCAGTCCCAGAGATCCAGACCCCAGCCTCTTCCCTCAGTCCCAGAGATCCAGACCCCAGCCTCCACCCTCAGACCCAGAGATCCAGTCTCTAGCTTCTTCCTCATCCAGGAGTCCAGACCCTAACCTCCTCCCTCAGACCCAGGGGTTCAGACCCCAGCCTCTTCCCTCAGATCAGGATTCTAGACCCCAGCCTCCTCACTCAGATCTAGGATTCCAGACCCTAGTTTCTTCCCTCAGACCCAGCATTCCAAGCTCCAGCCTCCTCCTCCTGACCCAGGGGTTCAGGTCTTAATGTCTTCCCTCAGACCCAGAGGTCCAGGGCCTCTCCCCCTCCCAATCTGGGCTCCTTACCCCTCACTCTGAGTTCTCTTTCTCTGATAGTCCTTTGCTGCCTTTTGTGAAGCTGGTCAGGGTCTTTTCCTGAAGGAGGAAATCCAGAAGGTTCGGGAGTGGGAGTCAAATCGACCATTCCCTCAATAGGAAAGGGATCGGCCTTCTCCACTCAGTCTCAGCGGAGGAACGGACGGCCAGAGGTTGGGTGACAGCCAGGGTGGGCACGTGCCCAGCCCTCGAGGCCCAGTGCACTCACCTCCACCAGCTGGTGCCAGTGCTCCACTGGCTTGCGCGGGTTGGCCAGCATCTCAGCCCAGTGCTCCCGGCCGTGGGGGTCGGCCGCCTCGGGGCCCACACGGCACACACCGATCACCTCGTTGTGCCCGATACTGTGGGGGCAGAGGAAGGTTACCAAGAGTCAGTGGGCTGCCCCCCACATCCCCCCAGGCCAAGGCCCACCAGTCGTAGTCCACCACTGCGATGCTGAGCCCCACGTTCTCCACGCTCTCGGGGGCCACATCGAACACCAGCGCTTCGTTGTACGTGGGGTTCAAGGTGTTCTTCTTGATGGAGGTTTTCCGCTTTTTCAGACGTCGACCCTCACTGATCAGAGAGGCCTTTACGTAGGGATCTGGGACAGGAGAGGGGTGGGACAGTGACCTCCTCCCTCAGACCAGGGGTCCAGGGCCAGCCTCCTCCCCCAGACCCAGGGGTCCAGGTCTAGCCTCTTCCCTCAGACCCAGGATCTGGACTCCAGCCCTCCTCCCTCAGACCCAGGGGTCTAGACCCCAGCCTACTCCCTCAGACCCAGGGCTCCAGGCCCAAGGCTCCTCCCTCAGACCCCAGCCTCCTCCCTGCAGCTCACCTGAGAAGCCAGTGAGGTCCATCGCTTTGAGGTTGGAGGCTTTGATGATGGTCACTGTGAGGCGCCCGGCGGTGGGGAGGTAGCAGAGTGAGAAGTTGAGCTCCCCAAGATCTGCCTTTTCCTGCCATTGGGGAATAGGGTCAGCAGTGCCAGTCCCCCACCCCACTTCCTCCCTCTCCAGCCCCCAGCCTCTTCCCTGACACCCAGTGCTCCAGCCACTGGCCAGGGCCAGGAAACTCCCAGGCCACAGCTGCCCAAGTCTATCAAAGCCAAAGGAAAACAAGAGATGTGGGTGTGGGGTGCGGAGGGGAGAGAGACAGATAGATGGAGAAAGAGAAAGAGGGTGGAGACAGAGACCTAGAGAAGGGGACCCTGGGACCACATGAGATTCAAGGTGACAGCTGTAGAAAAGGCAGGAGGTGCACCCAAAATAGGATGGTGCCGGAGGGAGAGGCTCTGCCTTCCGGGATGCCCAGGGGAAGCAGTGGCCAGAGCCAGTGGGAACCTGTGCCACACAGCCTCAGAGGGGCCCCTGTCCCCCCGCACACACACACATGCTGACCGGGCCCCTGCCACACTGCGTCCCCTGGAGTTGCCCTGTGTGCCCCACAGCACCAACTGTGACTCCCCGGAACGCAAGCTCCTGAGGATTGTCGGGTTGGAAGAATGAATGGCCTTGAATGGATGAATGACAGGGGGATGGGAGTAGAAGAGGAACAGAAGGCATGCGTGAATGGGTGAATGGGCACGTGAGTGCATGAATGAAGGAATGAATGAACTGACGGACGAGCAAATAAACAAATGAGTCATCAGTGAGTAAAGGAGTGCACGAGTGAATGATGGAGTGGATGAATAAGTGAAGGAGTGGGTGAATGAATGCAGTGGAGGAAGTCAATGAAGGAAGGGAGAAAGGGATGAATGAGTGAATGGAGAGAGAGTGGATGAGTAAATGAAGGAAGGAGTGGGGAAGGCCTTAGGTTGTGAAGGCCAGAGGAAGTGAGAAGAGGGCACAGCAGGAGACAAGATGGTCCCTGGGGAACACTTGGGGGGGCAGCAAGGAGGCGGGGGGGGGAGACAGACAGGAGCTGTGGAGGTGGCCCGGAAGGAAGTTCTTCTATACCCCAGAGATAAGCCTTGGGGTATTTACAAAAGTTACAGGCAGATACTTCACCCAGGTCACTGGCAGGTGGGAAAACTGAGGCTCAGAGCCAGACCTCTCTGGACCTCAGTCATGGCTTCCTGGCAAGGAACTGGAATGCTGGGAAATCCATGGCTAAGGAGCAGGAGTGTGAGGTTGAGGCTTCAAAGGTTCTGGGAACCTAATAGGACCTTGGAGTCAGGCTGGGCAGGGGCTGGATCTAGACTCTGGGAGAACTGGGGCTGGGGGGGGGAGAATTGGGGATCCTGGTGTGTCTGAGGCCTGCCAGGGCTTGGGGTGGGGGATGGTGAAGAAACAGGAGGGAATATGAACACGTTTAAATGCCAGGTATTTGTGAGATGAAGGCGTTCGAGCCTGGTGCGCTGGGAGAGGAGGGAAAATCAGGATGCTGGCAGCAGAGGCTGCTAAGAGAAGCCAGCCAGCTGGAGTCACAGAGCTGCAAATGGAAGCCAGGAGATGTGAAGAGAGGTTCAGAAGTCAGGAATCTGGAGCCAGAATGGTGGTACCTGCTTGCAATCCCAGCTACTTGGACAGTGGAGGAAAAAGGAGCCGCATTGGTGCAGATCAGTACAGACAAAATAAAAATGAAAGAGCTGGGAGCGTGGCTCCGTGGGAGAGTGCTCGCCTAGTGCGTGTGAGGACCCGGGTTCAATCTCCAGTGCCGGCAAATAACTAACTAAATAAACCAATAAGTAAAACGAAGTGGAGAGTCTGAGATCCAGGTCTGAGCTGGGAAAGACAAGAGCTCCTCTACTTCCCTCTCCACGCCATTCCTTATTGTTTTTCTTCTTGTGCTTGCTAAGCAAGGTGCTCTACCACTTGAGCCACACGCTCATCCTTTTTGTTTTGGTTATTTAGGGAATGGGCCAACATTTTTTTTCTTGGGTCAGCCTGGACCTCGATCCTCCTATCTAAACTTCCTATGTAGCTGAGATGTCTCTCTCTCTCTCTCTCTCTCTCACACACACACACAATTATGTCCACATATTAGTGGTGATCTCTGCCTCCCAAAAAGCTGGGATTACAGGCATGATCCACAACACCTGGCCTCCTCCTCCATTCCTGATTATATGCAGGAAGGAAGCCATATTCTCTGAACACAGGGTTTAGAAAGTCTAGAGACAAAGTGTTAAGATTTTACAAGGTCCCAGGGCTCAAAACCAATGGGCTCAGGCCCTGGGAAGGGGAGAGTCCAGAGAGGGTGCCACTGACCGAGCCACCCTCGATGATGTCCCTCCAGAGCGGGCGGTCAGGGGGCTGCTCGGCCAGCTCCAGGAGGTTGTCCAGCACCACCTGGCCGATGAGGTCATGCCGTGAGAAGCGGTCGAAGTCGTAGACGCTGAAATGCAGCTTGCGCTGGGCCAGCTCGGCCAGGGGCACAGAGAACTGGAACGTCTCATTGAACACGGGGTTCAGGGTCTTCCTATGCACCTGGGGGGGAGGTGAGAGGGGAACGGGCATCATGAACCCCCCCTCATTTCCCCAGCCAGCACCCTTGGAATCTATGCTCAGGCCCCAGCCTCAGACCAAGGGTCCGGATCCCAGCCCTCTCCCCTCAGACCTTGGTCTGGAACTTCTTCTTGCGGTCCGGCAGCAGGTAGATCTTGACGTAAGGGTCGGAGAAGCCATTGGAGTCCTTGGCTGGGAGGTCCAGGGCCTGAAGGACCCGCACGACAAGCTGGTCGGAGCCATAGAGGTACCGCAGGGCAAAGCTGATGCGGCCACAGGGGTTTCCCCCCTCTCCAGAGCCTCCGCCCCTGCGGCCGCCGGGGCCTGTGCCCTGGTACAACTCTGGCTTAATCTGCCCAATGAGTTTGGCCTTTTCCTCGCCTCCGGGCAGGGGCAAGGGCAGGGCTGGCGGCCGCTCCTCGCTGCTTGGCTCCGGCTGCGTTGTCAGCGTGTGCTGGGTGAGGGGCCGGGGCAGGGCTGGGTACCTGTGGAGGGAACCAAACTGAGGTCAGTGCACCTCCATCTCTGTCTGCATCCGGGCACCTGTGGACTTTCCTGCCTCTTCTTCAATGTCCAGCCAGGTGATCACAAATCTCCTTGGCCTGAACAAGACACTCATGCCTCAGTTTCCCCAACTGCACCCACCCTGTCTAAGCTCCCTAGACCTGCAGTGGCACCATCCCTCGAAGCTACTCTGGGTCACTGGTGTCACAGAGCACTTGCTCTTTGGTCCTCTGGGGGATGGTGGGGTCCACAAATCTCTACAACCTGTCCCTTGTTGCCAGGCTGAGCCTCTCTGCTCCTGCCTGGAGTCTCAGCCTCTAGCCGCTCCCTCTCGATCACCCATGTGGCCCAATGGGGGACCTTCAACACACACAGCAGAATCCCTTCCTCTCCCTCTTTGAGTCTCCCCTGCCCCCCGTAGTTCCCCAGTGCCTCAGACAAAATCACTCATTCTGGAGTGGCCTGGCATCTGCAAGCCCTGTTCCCAAATTCTGTTTTCAAACGTGTTCTCAAGGCCCCATAACTCCTGGTGAGTCCCCCAGTGCACCACACTGTCCTTCCAGGGAGCACCATGGTCTTTTCCCACAATGCACTGTGGTTTTCTCCCACAATGCACCACGGTCTCCTTCCACATATGATGTCTTCCTTTAGCCCCTGTGCCCTGGGGTGGGGTCTCACTGCTGCCTCCTTGTCCACCTAAGCCTCCTCCTCTAGGAAGTCCTGGGCCTCCTCCTAGCCTAGAACCAGGAGTTCCGGGGGACCCTGCTGTCCCCCATGCCACCTTTCCATCTCTCCAGGCCACTCCTGAAGTGGGCAGCTCTGAGGGTCAAGTCCAGGGGGTCTGGGTGCCTTCCTCAAGCTCGGCTGGTACTCAGTCCATGCAGATGAGTAAAGACGAATGAACGACTGAGCAGAGCCCAGGCCTCCGCAACTGAGCCTCGCTTAGAGCAAAAGGCTATAGGCATTTGGGAATCTCATCGTTAGTCTCCTTGATGTTTCTGACCCTGGATTTTTGTCCGCAGCTCCTTCCTGTCTCTAGACTCAAGAATCAAGGCCTCCAGCACCACCACCCCAGTTTAAGTCCTAGGAGTCTAGATCCCCATCTTTATCCTTAAAGGTTCAAAAGTCTGGGGTGCCAGCCTCATTCTCTTGGAACCCAAAGTCAAAACTCCAAAATCTTCCTGACCTAGGACTCAGATGAGGCTTAGGCGAAAAGCAGCCTCAGAAGAGGAGCAGAAGTGGGGTGGCCCCCAACCCGGGGGGCCCCCTCTCACCTGGTGGTAGGCGCCAGGCTTGTGACTTGCTGGTGTGACTGTGCGCTGGGCAGGCCCCCTCCACTGGGGGGCAACAGGAGCAGCCCCGACCCTGCCCCAGTCTCGGAGGGCAGCTCTGGAGATGTCTGGCTCGGCTTGACCCCAGCGGCCACCATAGCTGCGGCGGCGGCGGCCTCTGGATACGAGTCCATATCCAGGTAAGAAGGTTCAGGGGGCTCAGAGCCACCCAGGCTGCCCGGCTCCAGCAACTCAGCGAAGGGCGGATGGTGGACCGCGTGGGCATGGTGTGGGGGGACGCCAAGCAGAGGGTGGTCACCCAGGCCAGACCCCAGGTGGTGCCCACCACCACCCACCAGGCCAGCCAGCCCAACCCCGGGGCTCAGGTCCTTCCGCAGTGGGCCACCACCCACTGCAGAGCCACCCTTGTCCCGCCAGGGCACCCAGCACAGCTTCCAAGACACGAAGAGAGAGACCCCTAAGAGGACGATGCCACAGAAGGTCACGATGACAGACAGCAGGCTCACAGAAATGTCTAGAGAGAAGGAGAGGGGCCTGGGGTCAGGAAGGGTCAGAGTGCATCTTCTACCTGAGCACTCTGAATGCAGGACTCAATCTGAGCTCTCCACCCCTTGGAAAGAGGTGTTTCTATATAGCCATTTTGGTTTTGGATAGTCCTGGGGTTTGAACTCAGGGCCTTGCCCCTGTGAGGCAGTCACTCTACCACTGACCACACCTGCAGCTCTGAGAAGCAGTCTGCTGCTTTCTGGCCCTCGGATCTTGCACAAGTCTCTTCACCCTTCTGAGCCTCAGTTTCCCCTGTTGAAAATGAGGCTGATAAGCCAGGTGCCAGTGGCTCACACCTGTAATCCTAGCTACTCAGGAAGCTGAAAACTGAGGGTCATGTTTCAAAGCCAGATCAGGTAGCAATGTTAGTAAGACCCTGTCTCAATTACTAAGTCAGGCATGGTGGTATGCACCTGTTATCCTGGATATATGGAAAGTATCAGTAGAAGGATTGTGGTCTGGGGCTCAAGTGGTAATGTGCCTGGCTAGCAAACTCTAGTTATGCAAGAGTCTCAAAGACTCCTGAAGAGAATATCTGGAGGTCATAGTTGGGGGTCCACAAGGAACAACTCCAAAGGTCAGAGGTCAGGTTGAACACAAAGCTTTTTCCACTTAGGAGTTTTGGAGATAAGGTAGCAGCAAGCAGGATGGAGGCAGGACTCTAAGTGGATCTGGTAGCAAATGAAATGGAAAGCCGAATTCTTCGAGTCTTGTCTATCATGGTATTGGAGTGTGGGGGCGGCTGTTGGGACCTGAAGGGTGGGGTGCAGACCTGCATCAGGGCCCCGGGGGTAGCCTCGGATTCGCAGTTCATTGAACTCCTGGCACCTGTCACTGGTGTCAGCATCCCGGACGCGAGCACAGAGGTCTGAAGCCAGCATGAGGGCCCGTCGGCAGAGGCCATCCTCGTAGTCTCCAGACATGGTGGCCCTGGGGTCCTGTGCTAGGGAGAGGTGGGGAAAGGTAAGGAGGGGGGGACAGGAATGGGGGGAACAGGTGGGCAGGGGTACAGGGGTGCTGAAGAAGGGTAGAGGACAGGCAGGCAGGCTGAGTGAGGGAAGGCCAGCAAAGGGGCAGAATCAGGATGGACCAATAAAGGAGCAGATAGGTAAGGGGACAAAGATTAGAGGTGCACCAGTGGGGGGGGGACAAAATTCAGGGACGGACACTCATTCATTCATTCACCCAACTAATATTCATTGAGGGCCAACTGCAGACTTTGGGCTGGCTGCCCCAGATGCAGGGGAGTGGAGCCGCCCAACTTCTGGTGTACACAGCCCAATAAAGGAGAAGAACAAAGAAAAACACCAACCACCAGCAAGCAAGACCTGGAGAGGGGCAGTCAGGGCTGGCTCCCTGGAGGAGGTGGTGGAGCTGGCCACAGGCAGCAGGGGCTGGGGCAGGGAAAAGCAGGAGGCAGCTAGAATAGCAGGGACCCGGGGCTTAGGGGAAAGCACCAGGCCAGGGAGGACAGGGGCAGGAGGAGGAGGAGGAGGGAGAGAGAAGTGGGTAGGTATGGAGGTGCAGGATGAGGTGAACTGGAGAGAGACCGACAGACAGAAGGAAGTCAGACATTGAGATTTGGGATGGAAGGCTGTGTAAGGGAGCAGGATGCACCAACAGCCGGCTGTGCAAGTGGTAGGAAGTAGGCACAGGGTGGACGGGAGCAGAAATCCAGGACAGATGGAAGGACAGACAGCCGGACCCCGGCCTGGATCCCTGGCAGCCCCGGGAGGGGGCTGGGCGGCGCAGGGGGGAGGCCGACTGGGGAGGGGAGAGGCAGGGCCCGGGTTTGGAGCCAGACCGAGGACGCAGAGGGCAGGTGGGGGCGGGCAGGTGGGGACGGGCAGGTGTGCTGGGCACCGCGGGCACCGGCGGACTCACCGCGCTTATCCCCGCCTCGTCCTGGGCGCCAGCCGAGGCGGCGGCGGGCGGCGGCCCATGGGGGCTGCAGGGCAGACCAGCGGAGTGGACCGGTCCCCACACGCGGGGGGGGGGGTGCGGGCTCTGATCTGATGGACCGAAGCCGAGAGGAAAAACTCAGCCCGAGCCCCCCATCCTGCCCTCCTCCCGCCGGCTGCCCGACCTCAGACGACCCCCGAGAGGAGGCGGGTGGTCCGGCCGCCCCCTCCCACCTCCGGGGAATGCCTAAGGACTACAATTCCCGGTAGGCAGTGCGCTCTTGCCGCTGAGGCTTCACAGACCCTAGGCCGCATGGGCTGATGGGAGTTGAAGTCCTTAAATGCCCCTCCAGGCTGCAGAGAGGATGGGATTTTTTTGCAGGTTGGGGCTTGGGGGGGGGGGTGTTAAGATGCCAGGGTCCCAAGATGCTGCAGGAAAATAGGGGGACAGCGTCCAGGACCTCGAAAGGCCACAGAGTCCCAAATACTTCGGGATCGAGGAATGAGTGGACGACGTCCGCGTTGTGGGGATGGATGGGAGGAGATGGGGTACAGCCAGGTGTGTCGAACCCCGCCTTGCCGGGGCCGTGCGCCCCTCGCCGGGGCGGCCGCGAACACCACAGAGCCCCCTCCCCAGCCCCAGGTCCACGCGCCGCGGCACCGACCCCCACTTCCCCGCGCCGCGCCCCCCCCTCGTGGGGTCGAGGAGGAGGAGGGGAGAGAAGGGGAGAGAAGGGGAGGAGAGAGGGGAGGGGAGGGGCGGACTCACCCGGGAGGGGGAGAGGGAGAGGGAGAGAGGCAGAGGAAGGGAAGGTGGGATGGAGGAAGGAAAGAAGGCGGGGGCGGGGCGGGGGCCACAGTGATGGGGG